TCGACCCACGAGGTTCGGTTGCTGTGGTTTGTCACCGGTCGCGGGGCCGCGCTCCCGGCGGCAGCGCCACGGGGCTTTGGGGGTGATTCTCCTCCCCTTTTTTTGTCTTTTTTTTTGGGGTGTGTGTTTGCCCAGAGGAAGTCGAGCAGGGCCAAGGAGAAGAAGCAGCGGCGGCTGGAGGAGCGCGCGGCCATGGCCGCCGTCTGCGCCAGGGTCGAGGCCGCCAACAAAGTGAGTGCGGCAAAGCGCGGCCCGGCCCCCGGCACCGCTGGCCACCGCCACCCCCCCGCTGGCTCTCGGCTGCTCTTTGGTCTCTTCCAGCTCCAAGACCCCCTGGAAGCCTTCCCGGTGTTCAAGAAGTACGACCGCAACGGGTGAGTGCCGCCCTGCCCGGGGGACCCCGGGGGCTGCTCCCGGTGTCCTCCGGGTGTTCAAGGTGTCCCTGGGGCCATTCCAGGTGTCCCTGGGGCCATTCCAGGTGTCCCTGGGGTCATTCCCGGTGTCCCTGGGGCTGCTCCCGGTGTCCTCCGGGTGTTCAAGGTGTCCCTGGGGCCGTTCCAGGTGTCCCTGGGGCCATTCCCGGTGTCCTCCGGGTGTTCCCAGTGTCCCTGGGGCCATTCCAGGTGTCCCTGGGGCCATTCCAGGTGTCCTCCGGGTGTTCAAGGTGTCCCTGGGGCCATTCCCGGTGTCCTCAGTGTATTCCCAGTGTCCCTGAGGTCTTTCCTGGTGTCCCTGGGGCCATTCCCGGTGTCCTCAGCGTGTTCCCAACATCCCTGAGGTCATTCCAGGTGTCCCTGGGGCCATTCCCGGTGTCCCTGGGGCCACTGCCTGTGACCTCAGCGTATTCCTGATGTCCCTGGGGCCATTCCAGGTGTCCTCAGTGTATTCCCAGTGTCCCTGAGGTCATTCCTGGTGTCCCTGGGGCCATTCCTGATGTCCCTGGGGCCATTCCCGGTGTCCTCAGTGTGTTCCCAGTGTCCCCAGGGCTGTTTCCCGTGTCCCCGAGGCCATTCCTGGTGCCACTGGCACATTTCCCGTGTCCCCGAGGCCGTTGCTGGTGCCTCT